GTAATATCATCTATTATTTCCTCATTATGTGACAAACTTTGTAGCATAAAAAAAAAAAAAAAAAAAAAAAAAAAAAATTCTTTTTAAGAGGTTGAATAACAATGTATAATATTTGATTATGAGTATCATACCACAAATCATCTAATGTAAATTGCTGTATTTCACTTTTTATGAAAGGTTCTGGAGAAATATCCGTGGTCGGTAATTGGTTTGATAATTGTTTTAAAGTTGGTATTGTATATAATTTGAATTCATTATCCTTTAGTATATGAATAGGAAGTAACGGTTCTTCCATAAAATAAGATTCACGAGTAGCTACATCTTTTAATAAAAAGTAAATTATTATTCGAAGGTAATGTAATGTCGAAGAACTTAATAGATACCTTCATAAATGTCACAACATAAGTCTAGATCCTGAATATTAAGGTCATTTAATACTTCTGTAAAAAAAATGTTCGCGTCCAAATCATTTAAACTCCACTTTTCTAATAATTGATGTCTTATAGGTATTTTACTATCAGGAACTACAAGTAAAATAGATTCCTTTTCATTCTTTGGCACATAAAAATAATCTAGCGGGATTTGCGCAATTAGTTCTTGCGTATAATCTTTTTAATTTTACCGTTTATTAAAGCAAAATTAAGTTTTTAAATTCAATAATAGCATACTTCAAAATTCAGGCAGAAAAGCAAATGATTATTTTAAAATACCTTCATTTGGTAGATTCAAGAGTTTAGCACATTCCAACAACTCTACACGAAAATTATTATCTTCTTCCATTTTTTTGGTTTAAATACCAATATTAAATAATTTAAAAAAATAATTGATAAAACAATATACTATCCTAATTTATTACAATATTAAGTTGCATAATTAACGCAAGTGACGCGAATAAACTCCGCATTTGCATGGCAAAAAACTTTCTTTCGCTAACATAATGTTAAAACTTAAAGCACCAACTTTTATGATAATGTCGAAGGGTCAAATGCGTAACAGAGAACCCCAAGGGGATAACCCTTGGGCATTCTCCATCTACCCAAACTGCGGAAAAAATAATTTTCAATTACGAAGGTATTCAATATAAAAACAGAAATTATATTATGCTGGTTTATCACACATACGATTTTTAATAATTTGCTCGTCTATAACCAAAGAGATTAGTTCGACACTATCGAGAATAAATAAAACTATTGATAATATTAGAGAGTCAAAGACCCTTCGGAGGAACCAGAAGTCATTAGATTCTTTTCAGAAATGAACGGTCATTACGACCTGGGTTTCTTGGTGAACAATACAGATCATTCTAAGGCTGCCAAAACCATGGAGAGATATTTCGATAATTTTTTTTTTTATTATTTATATGTACGGAAAATAATATTTCGGATGTGTTCGCAGAAAAATTTAAAGACGAAACTATAGGTGGAAACGACGATGAATTGTGTAGAACAAATTATTGAGGAAGAAGAAGAGGATGAGGGTAACGTAGAAGACTACATCTCTAATTGGGATCTAATTATTTGATGTTACTTACAGCGACACTTATTTTGGTTTTAACTATTATAAAGAAAGCACTTCTTCGTCTAGACAGTTATAATCCATCGAAGAAGGCTCTATTAGTTCGACACAATCGATAATATTGGAGAGTCAAATACCCCTCGGGGAACCGGAAGTTCTTAGGGTTTTCTCAGAAATGAACGGTCATTTCCGGTCAGGATTTATTGACCGAAGAATTGGGATTTCGGCTGGAAATTACTCGGCGGGAGAAGAAAAAAGCCATTGACCTGAGCTTCTTGGTGAATAACACGGGTTTTTCTAACACTGCAAAAACCATAGAGAGATCTTTAGATAATTTTTTTTTATGCACGGAAAGTAATATTTGGATATGTTCGCAGAAAAATTCAAGACGAAACTGTAGGTTAAAACGATGAAATTTTATTAGAACAAATTGAAGATGAGGATGAGGATTAGGTACGTCTCCTCTAATTGGGATCTAATTATTTGATGCTGCTTACGGCGTCACTGATTTTGTTCTTAACTAAAACGGGTTTATTTGAAGTTGAACTCAGAATTATTTGAACTCGAAGTAAATTCAAATGTGTTCAGAGTATGTTCATTAGAGCCCGAAGTTATTCATTTGAATCTAGTGGGGTTAAATGGACTCGAAGTAGGGTTGTTACAGCTAGTGTTGTCATTTGACACATATGACGTTCGGTCACCAGGTCTTAAATAACTAAACACAACCAACAATGAAGGAGACTCGAAAGAAGTTCTGTCCGAGAACCAAGGATTCTACTGCCACTAGGATACACTCTTATTAGATCTTTATTAGTATAATGATCTCTACCCTTCAACTAAAGGAAAGTGATGGGATTTTACGTTTATATATGACTTATTTGTCTTGGATCTTGCGGCTTAGCATTAGTTCATGTTACGACGTGCCTACGGCTAAGTCAAGTTTTCCCCTTTACAACACTGGTTGTTCACGTAAAGAAGAGATGGGCAAAGTAAGTAACATATTATTACTTATTATTTTTAATTATTTCCGACAATTTTTTACGTAATAAATAATAATAATAGATAAGTAAAGATGCAAAATTCAATCCGAACAACAAATTATTGAGTTTAAAATTTTACTCTCCAGATTACATTTGAAAATTGTAATAAGTAATAATCATACATCATAAGCAATAATTGGTAATAATACGTAAGTTAAGTATTGGGTAAAAAAATAAGTAATTATTACTTATATTATTACCTTGCCCATCTATAACGTAGAGGTATCTGATAAATAATTGACTTAATAATTATTATACTTGTATAGCGATTCGTTAAGTTTTGATTCGAAAGTGATATAGATATTAACTATTATAAGTGTATGGACAATTCTAATTAAGGTTGTAGATATGATTTTTTTTTGAGTTTAATGGTGATTAAACCATTAAAATTAGTTGATATTCGTGGTTAAAGATGCGAATAATTGTAGTAACAGAGTTGATCTGTTATGCCAATATCCCGGTTTTAAATAATAAATAACCAATATAGCAATTAGGGTCGTTATTCTAAATATTTTAAATAATACAGGCCAAACCCGACTATTTTAAAATTTTCATGAGAAGAATTTGGCAAGCATGTTTTTTTACTAATAAGTAAACAGTTAAAAGGAAATTTTTTAAGAATGGTTTATTATATACAGTAGCTTAGCACTTTTTATCCTATATTTTAAATACAGCACATTTTAAACTAATAATGTTCTAAATAATTATACCGATACTGTATTTGTAAATCAATACTTTTAAAATATTGTAAGTTAACCTATCTGTTATTAATTACTAAAATATTTTGGTTTTTTTTAGAAGAAAATTTTTTTTTGTATGCTCTATATAAAATATAAAATTTTTATATTAAAAACCAACAACTCTAACATTAAATTTAACACTTTAAGTATATTAATTAGCATTTCATTAATGTAAATTAACAGATTTTTCAGATGTCACGGGATCGTCTTTTATATTTTCTTGGATTTTTAAAACAACTTCTTTAGCAGCTTTAGGAATTTGAGTGCCAGGTCCAAATATTAAACTCACCCCTGCATCATATAAGAATTGATAATCTTGATGTGGAATAACGCCTCCAACTACTACGACTTTGTCATTCACACCAAGTCTTTTAAGCTCATTTATAAGTGCCGGTATCAGCGTTTTATGACCAGCAGCTTGTGAAGAAACTCCGATAACGTGTACGTCATTGTCAATTGCTTGACGCACTACTTCTTCGGGTGTACTAAATAATGGAGATAGATCTACATCAAATCCAAAATCACTGAAAGCTGAAGCAATTACTTTGGCTCCTCGATCATGTCCATCTTGGCCACATTTTGCTACCAAAATTCTTGGATTAACACCCAATTTTTCTTTCGTTTGCTTTATAACATAAATTAATACGAATGCATATATTAATTAAATTTCTAACAGGTTAATTAAATTACAATATCTGAATACAATATTAACCTCTATTAATTTCATTGTCTCTTCTGTTTCTTCCGCAGTTCCATAAGCAGACTTATAAGCACCGCTAGCAACACGACTAGTTGGTTCGTGGCGTCCCCAGACCTTTTCAAGTGCATATGATATTTCGCCTACAGTACATCGCGCCTTTGATGCCTTTTAATGTAAAAAAAAAAAAAAAAAAAAAGTCTGTCTTAATAAGGCCACACAAAGTTAATTCCTTGGTTTTCATAACATAAAATTTTAAAAGTGACCCGGCTTTTTATTTTAAATTATAAAAAATTTCATATGATTTTTTTTAGAGAAAAATATAAAACATATGAAATTTTTAAAAATTTTTTTTAAAAAACTGACCCAGAGATTTTATAATAAATTATATATGAAATTTTTTTTTCAAAGGTCTACAAATTTTGACCCGACCGGGTTATGTAAACCAAAAAATTTTTTGGTATGGCCTAACTATACGTAATTCAGATTTTAAAGACAAAATTATCGATTTAATAAAATTTCCATACTTCAATAGCCAATTCTAGTAAGTTTCCATTTTGTGTTTTTGCACACTCTTCCAGAACGTTTAATGCTTTTTGCGCCTAAAAAAAAAAAAAAAAACATGAATATGGTATACTTTATTGGATATCTTTTACTTATTTATATACTAACTTGTTCCTCATCTCTCGCCGCCTTGACACTATTTATACGTTTAATTTGCTCTTCTCTTACTCTAGTGTTGTCAATAGTACGGACCTCAATTGCAGCATCATTTTCAACCCGATATTTATTTACTCCAACGATTGTCTCTAAATTAAAAAAGTATACATATTTAAATACGAATATAGCAAATATTACGATTTACAATACAAAACTAACCTTGACCAGAATCGATTCTAGCCTGTCTTCGAGCTGCACTTTCCTCGATTTTTAGCTTTGGCATGCCACTTGCAACAGCTTTTGCCATGCCACCCATTTTCTCTATCTCCTCCACAAGTTCTCTCGCTGCATAATAAATATCATTCGTCAAACTTTCCATCATATAACTACCTCCCCAAGGGTCTGCAACCTTTGGAATAAATGCTTCCTCCTGAAGAATTATTTGCGTATTTCGTGCAATACGGGCTGAGAATTCTGTTGGAAGACCTACTGCTTCATCAAATGAATTGGTATGAAGGGATTGCGTTCCTCCTAATGTAGCAGCCATTGCTTCTATCGTAGTTCTAACAATATTATTGTATGGATCCTATAATAATTATTAATTAGTGTTAGAATCTCTTAATAACTGGATTTAACAGATAATTTACCTGTTCAGTAAGTGACCAACCGGATGTCTGACAATGTGTACGCAACATTAATGACTTTTGACTTTTTGGATGGAAATTTTCTTGAATCTGATGAGCCCATAAACGACGTGCTGCTCTCATTTTTGCAATTTCCTAATATTTATAAAATTTGTTGACAAGCGCTAATTTAGGAGAAATTAAATATTACGATAAATATATAATATATTAAAATTACCATATAAAAATTCATTCCAATACCCCAAAAGAATGACAATCTTGGAGCAAACTGATCAATTGACATTCCTGCTTTAATTCCTGTAAAAAAAAAAAATTTTAAGTATTTATAAAAACATTAAAATATCTTCTAATTCTTAAAAATGGACTTTACCTGTTCTAGCATACTCTAAACCATCAGCGACTGTAAAAGCTAATTCAAGAACATTGTCAGCACCAGCCTCTTGCATATGATAGCCAGATATTGAGATTGAATTATATTTTGGCATATTCTGCATAATACAAAAATAAGTAAAATAAAAACATTCGAAAAAAAAACACCAATTAAACCATACCTTTGCAGTGTAAGCAAAAATATCACCGATTAATCTCATTGATGGTTCTGGTGGATATATGAATGTATTTCGAACCATAAACTCTTTAAGAATATCATTTTGTATAGTACCAGCTAATTCATTTAATTTAGCTCCCTGCTCTAAACCCGTTACTATATACATTGCTAAAATTGGCAACACTGCACCATTCATTGTCATTGAAACTGACATTTTATTAAGTGGAATTCCATTAAAAAGAATCTATTATTCAGAAAATATTGTAAATGAACATTAATAGATATCGAATAGATTCTTAAAATATTTTTTTTATACAGACCTTCATGTCTTCTACCGAATCAATAGCAACACCTGCCATACCAACATCACCCAATACACGTTCATGATCCGAATCATATCTAAACATAAGTAAAATAGATTAGAAATTATACCACCGATTATGCTCAAACCATGAACCTTATATTTATTTTGAATTTACCCTCTATGCGTAGCCAGATCAAAAGCAACAGAAAGACCTTGTTGACCTGCTGCCAAATTTTTTCGATAGAACGCATTTGACTCTTCAACAGTACTGAATCCGGCATACTTTTGTAAAAGCATAGCGTAAATAAATAGCAAATTTGATTATAATAATATAGAGTGATCATTCACCTGGCGAATAGTCCAAGGTCTAGATGTATACATAGAAGCATATGGTCCCCTTGTAAAAGGAAACTTTCCTGGAATTTCATATTGAATGTGTTCAGCATCTGCTTTTGTATAAACCGGCTTAACCTCTATCCCCTATAATTTTTACAAACCAAAATTATTATTTGAATAATTCTGATAGCTTCACTAATAGAAATTATATATACTTCAGCAGTATGCCATGTTAACACTTTTTCTGGATCTTTACCCTTTAATTCTTTTAAAGCAAGTTCAACCCATTCTTTTTCTAAAGGAATTTTAGGTGGACGAGCAGATACGAACGTCTAATATGCAAGTAAAAACAAATTCAAATATGAAAACCTTTGAACATAAAGCAATTTATCTTTTTTTTTTTTATATTTAATTCTTCAGTTTTCTATACATTTATGAAAATTCTATAAATTTATCTTGGTCAAAAGCTTTTTATTTTTACCCTTCGTTGCGCATACTTCGTGAATGCGCATTTAAAGCCACCAAAAGCGATAACACGTTGCATCTTTTTTCTTTGAAGGGAAATATACAAAACATATACAAATTGATTTACCACGGGCAAACTCTGTCAGTTTAAAGAACATAGATATTTATTAATCAATCGTAAACTAGACAGGCATTATTAATTTGTAATTCACCTGATATAATCATACCATTATATAGCATGATCTACAATATCAGTCGATTTTTTTCTGATATTTTTTCTTCACGTGTAGCGATGTAATTATGTGATTTCATTGAGAATTTATTTCCCAATTATGCGAAATATTTAAATAGATTATGCGATTATGCGCTTTTAAAACCTCTTTTATGTATCATAGTATTTATTTATAAATACGTCCGAATTTCTGACAAAGCATTATTTTAACATAACTTATTCTTTCATATTAAATAAACGTTTGATATCCATTCAGATCCAGTTGTTTCACCCAATGAATATCTGAAAATTTTTTTAAGAACATAAATTATAATTTTTAAGATCTCAAAAAATTTTAATGTTCTCAAAAATTTTTTTAATTAATTTTACTAAATTTTACGTTCTCAAAATGAAAACAAATTTTAAATTTAATGATTTTGAGTACACCGAGAACTTTAGATATTCAACACTAGTTCCACTGTCTTAAAAGTAATTATTAAATTTTGATTTTTTAAGATAACTAATGCAAAAACATTGTTTCTGACCCACTTGGATCACGTTTTTGACCTAAATTTTTAATTTATCAATTAGCCAATTAGAATAAAGATGATTAATTAAACAAAAAGTTGTTTTTTTTAAAATTTTGAGTAAAGGTTTTTTTTAACTATTAAGGCTGCTTTCTTGGCTAATTAGATTTTTTTATTTTTTTTATTTTTAAAGTAGTTTACATTGCCAGATGATTTTTATTAGTTTGATATATGAGATTATACATAGGCAATCTTTACAGTTTTCAATTACATAAAGAGTATACAACAAGTTACATATACAACTTTAGTCATTGTTTAATTTAAGTAGTTCACTGCATAGATGTTAGATCACTTGTTAGTATTACACTATGCTGCTATATCTGTAATCTACCTGTGAGTTGTCTATTTAAATATTCTGTTCAATTAACTTATTCTTGTTATAAACTAACATTATTGTAATACTTAACTGTTTAAGTTAGCTAGCTCATTACAGATCTATTTTTTGACTTTAGCTTAGATCTTCTTAAGATACATATTGTTCAATGTATTATAAGCATATAGAACTTTAGCTTAGATTTTATCAAAATATATATTATCTAATATATTGTAAGCATGTAGAACTTCAGTTAACCTTGAAGCAAATCTACTAGAGTAGTTTGTATCTATTTTACAAATTCATCTAGTTTAGATCTTTGCAATATTTATATAACTTTAGTTCTTACTATAGTTCTTTACTAGTATCTGTATTCTCTCTCTTAGGATATTTTACAAGACAAATCTTCCTAATCTAGTTAGCTGTTAAGTCAAGTTGGTGTTGCTAATTCTCTAATATAAATTAGATTTACTTATACCTATCTTAATTTATATCTTTCTTGATAATATTTCTTGTTAGATTAAATATTAACTAGCAGCTAATTAGATTTTATTAATTTATTATTATAAAATTATATATATAATAATTTATCTTTTAAAGTTTGTAATTTTTTTTTAACTTAGATGATCTTACTCTTTATTTATTAAGAGAAAATATATATAATATTATAACAAAAATAAAAACTAATTTATATTAGCTATAAATATCTGATAGTTCTATGAACTTAATGATATAGAGATCAATAGAAAAAAATTAGAACTTCTTATAATAAACCCTTATCTAACAAGAAGTCTAGATGATAATAAAACTGTAATTATAGTAGGCAAAAACAAAGATATAGTTTTTGTGAAAAGAGGTACAGAAGTAATCAGATATTTTGAAGTTTGGCTCTCAGAAAAAGGAGAAAACAAATATAATACAAAAGTAATTACAAAAGAAATCTCTAAGATATGTAAAGCAATAAAGTTCAAAAGAGTATCAGTTAGCCAACTAGTCTACTTGAACAATTGTATTCTGCTACCAAGTATCGAATACAAATTACAGATATCATTCTTGTCTAAATACAAATGTGAACAAATACAAAGACCAATTTAGATCACAATCAAGAACAAAATAAAGCTAGCAAGATTAGCAGCGAATAGTCTATGTAGTCATAATAAATTGATAGGTCTGAGATTGATATAGCAGAATCAAATAGTATATTACTACACAGAGCTAGTATTATATTTAAACTAAGAAAGTGAAATAGAAATAACAACTTACCTTTACTTAAAAGATGCTTAATTCAAATACAAATCAAAATTTAGTTTACTCAACAATAGATATAAGTTGGTTATAAGCAATCTCAAAAATAACCTAATATACAATATTATTTAAGTATAACAAAATTAGAATTTGAGTTTTAGAAAATATATACAAACTTGAATAATCTAGAAGTTAGTGGTATAGAATTGAGTAACTTACTAGAGAAGAAAGTATTAAAAGACTTTATCAAAAGCAAAAACTTGAATATATTTATCACAAATCAGCTAATAGAAGTAAAAGATAGTAGCTTTCTATTCTGGCAACAACTCTACTTATTAAAAAGTTGCAAAGCAAGAGGGTACAAACCAAACTAGTTTAACAAAATTGAAAAGAAAATACTAGCAGATAATATTACAAGAGAATTAGCAGAAGACTACAAGCTAATAGATATAAACCAAGAAGCAATTAAAACAAAAAAACAAAGAATAAATTGAGACCGAAGAAAAAAAGAGTAGATTATTACAAAAGTAAAAAACATACTTTTTATAGACAAAATAATCAAAAAAAACTGAAGAAAAATTTTCTATAGCTCACTGAAAAATAAAGAATTCAAACAACATATATTGAACTATTTTGACAAAATATAATAGATGCTATCTTGGTAAGAAAAATAATACAGATTATATAATTAGTAAATATATAAATAAGTGGTATCAAGTAGTAAAAGTAATAGTTAAAAAAGAAAAAAGTTTAGTAGAACTAAAGATTCCCTTAGCAGCTTATGCAGATCAACTAAAGCAATATAATTAGAAAGAATTAAATTATTAAAGTAAAGTTTGAATTAATGTTCTAAATTTAGAAGAAGTGATAATTCAAAGAGTAATAGAAGAAGAAGATATTCAAAGAGAACTTAGTATAGTATTAGAGAGCCTAAGAGAAAAAGAGGTAATAGATATATATATAAACAGGTCATAAGAAGAAAGGAATTCAGGAAGTAATATAGACAAGAAAATAGAAATAGAATAAATAGTAGCTAGTAAAGAGGATAGTAGTCTTGACAGCATTAGCTTTAGTAGTAAAATAGCAGACTAGTCTTCATCAATTCATGCAGAACTTGATGCAATCTAGATAGTAGTGTTAGTAGTACTATCTAGTATAAGAGTAAATATTTTTACAGATAGCTAAGTAGCAATAGACAGTTTATAAAACATTAAGCAATCCCAAAGTATATAAAACTTATTCAAGATTAAAAACTACAGTTTAGTTAGACAAATCCAAGAGTATTATAAAGCCAAAAGTGTAGAGCTTAGTCTAACAAGTCAAAGAGTATAGTAGAAACTTTTGGAATAACAGAGCTAATGAGTTGGCAAAAGATAGCTTAAGCTCAAATAAGATATTAAGAGTAAAGGATATTAATACAGACAAGTTGAAAGTCTTGCTAAAGTGGAATAATAAGTTAATTAATTGCTCAATCAGATCTTTTGCAAATATTACAACATCTATTACATATGAAACTGAATAGGCAGAGCTGAGTAGCTCTAAAGATATAACAAACCCAAAGTCTAAAGGTAATAGTAATGAAGATTTGAACTAGAATATAACATAGAATGTTCTAAAAAGTTAACAAAGCAAAAGATGCACTAGTTTCAAAAAAAACAAGACATTAATATTCAGAATAAAATGCTTGAATAAGTTATTACTAACTCAAAATATATGTTACTTATAATAGCCAAAACTTTATCAGAATGATATATATATAGCTTGTTTCATAGCAAAAGAAATATTTAGTCATCTAGTAGAATGTGTAGTCTACTAAAGAATTTGGCATCATACTGAAGTAGCTATTATAGAAGAGCTAAGTTTAAAACTTTTAAAAAAGTGGAACATCTCTATACCAGATTCAAGATTAAAAGAAGTGATCTTAAGAAGAGATTTAAAAACTCAAATCAAGAGAAAAAAGCTATATATCTAAGGTTTAACAAACAAAAACCAAGTTAAAGAAATGAGAGATCTAGGATTTTCAAACTCTAAAGCCAACTAGGTAATATTTTGTTTTATTGATATCTTTTGAACAAGCTTTTTTGAAAGATTATAGAAGTTCTATTATGAGGTTATGTCTGATTAGTAAAAAGAAAAAGGCATCAACTTTCAGAAAAAAAAACTAAAAAGAAGAAAAGATATAGAGCAAAATTTTTGAACAAAAAAAACAATATAGCTACTGAAAGTATAACCAAGGAATCAGCATCTAAGAAAAGTGAAAGAATTTTAAAAGAGGCAAACAATAAGATAAGGAGTTGAATCAAAGGAAAAAAAAGAGAAGGCTGAATAAAATTCAAAAACAAATAAGGCATTCTTGATATAGACTAATAGTAGTCTTCTGTAGATCACAATTAGATATTATGTTTTAATATTAGGAGGAAAAATGCTGCTGTAACAGATCATATTTAAGTATCTAATAGGCAGCTGAGTGAGTTCAGAGTTGAAACAAAGAGAGCAGTCTTAAAATTAGAGTAGTTTTAGTTTTTTGTATTTGTTATAATACCTTTAAAGATTTTCTCTTAATAAAATGATAGACAAGATCATCTAAGTATAAAAAAAAAAAAAAAAAAAATTTATTAGTTATATAACTGCTTTCTTTTTCTAATTTTGAATTTACTCAGTTAAGGTTTATAATTTTTTTTTTTTAAAATTCAGCAATCATGTCGTGACTTTATTTAGATTTG